TCTCTCACATCAGTAACATCCTCGTGTGACGGGATTGCATCAAATCTCCTCCTGCCCTCTGGAGAGGCTCCTGCCAGCTGTAGCGGAGCCCTAGCACCTTGTCTCTATGGCACGACAGTGTTCATCACACCACCCGGGGAGTCACCAACCTGGTTAGAGAGAGCTGTCTAGGAGGCACTGCCAAGTTTCGATCTGGGCCCTGTGAGATTGGGAAACTAACTGAAATCATGTAAGGTGCCCTGTGACTCTCCTATGAAGTGTAAAATCAGAGATTAGAAAGGTGCCAAGTGAACCATGATGAGGAAGAAAAGGGTGAGGTGTGTGGGACAATCCCTCCGGCCCCATTCTTGTCCCTCCTCTCTACTCGCTAGCTTCATTTGCACAATATCAAAATGAGCTTCACAATTGTGCCTTGTACCATTGAAATCTACCCGATGACTTTATAGACATACACACAGGTGCCAAGGATCCAAGTGCAACTGATTATGACTAGTAATAATCAGATACATACAGATTAGAGATGCATGTGCCAACATCTCAGTGTTAGTAGCAAAAACAATGAAAAAAAAAAAAACAATTATTTAAGTGTTTCCCATCAAGCTTGGTGGCACAAGCCTTTAATCCCAACACTCGGGAGGCAGAGGCAGGTGGATTTCTGTGAGATTGAGGCCAACCTGGTTTATATAGCAAGTTCCAGGCAAGCTGTGGCTACAGAAAGACCCCATCTCAAAAAAAAAAAACAAGGGCTGGAAGGACAGCTCAGCAGAAAAAAAACAATTATTTAAGTGTTTCCCATCAAGCTTGGTGGCACAAGCCTTTAATCCCAACACTCGGGAGGCAGAGGCAGGTGGATTTCTGTGAGATTGAGGCCAACCTGGTTTATATAGCAAGTTCCAGGCAAGCTGTGGCTACAGAAAGACCCCATCTCAAAAAAAAAAAACAAGGGCTGGAAGGACAGCTCAGCAGTTAAGAGCACTGACTGCTCTTGCAGAGAACACAGGTTCAGTTCCCAGCACCCACATGGTGGTGGCTAACAACTGACTGTAACTCTGGTTCCAGGGGATCAGACACCCTCTTCTGGCCTCCATGGGCATTACATGCCAGTGGTGCACTTACATAACATGCAGGCAAAACACCCATACACATAAAATAAAAAATAAATATAAAAAATTTAAAAATAAAGTGTTTCCCTGGACTGGCACTATGAACCCGTTTTTTTCTCTGACACGCAGTAAATGGTCAGCATGTGTTAATTGCTGGCGTATATAGTATCTAGTTTAAAAGGCATTTAATAGTCAGGTGTGGTGGCACATGCCTGTAATCCCAGCACTTGGTAGGAGGAGGCAGGAGGTAGCCCAAGAGTTTGAGGCCAGTCTGGTCTACACAGTGAATTCTAGGCCAGCCAGAGCTGCATAGCAAGATCCTATTACCACACCCCCACCCTAAAAAAAAAAAAAAAACCCTAAATAACATGGTCATAGAATAAACAAACAAACAGCAGTTTTTACCTGGGAGCTGTGGGACACTTTGACACAATTTTAGCCTCTGCTTTGCACTCTTAGACTAACATACACCCTCACTCCCCACCAGTGACCTCATTTGGGCTTGAGAATACTCTGTGCAAGAACCAAGCTCCCTTTCTTTCTGTGTCCCTAGGGGTCAGTGTGAGCCTGCCATGCAATCATCTCTTTTGTTCTATGTAACTGACTTTCCTTCCCTCCCTCCGTGCCTCCCTCCTTTCCTTCCTTCTTTTCTTAGAAGGGTCTCATGTAACCCAGGCTAGCCTCACATTCACTACATAACCAAGGAGAGCTTTATACTTCTAATTATCCTGCCCCCATCCCCAAGTGCTGAGATTACAGTTGTGTGCCACCATCCCGGTTATATGATACTAAGCTTCATGCATGCTAGGCAAGCACTCTGCTTAGCTACATCCCAAATCACACCTCTCTCTCTCTCTCTCTCTCTCTCTCTCTCTCTCTCTCTCTCTCTCTTCTCTCTCTCTCTCTCTCTCTCTCTCTCTCTCTCTCTCCTCTCTCTCTCTGTTTTGAGACAGTCTCACTATGTAGCACTAGCTGGCCTAGAACTCTCTACATAGACCAGGCTGACTTCGACTCACAGAGATCCACCTGCCTCTGCCTCCCAAGTGCTGGGAATAAAGGTGTACACCACCATGCCAAGCCCTCTTTCTTTTTTGAGACAAGGTCAGCCATGCTGACCTCAGATTCCCTATATAGCTGAGGATGACCTTGAACCTGGTCCTTTTTCTTCCATCTCCCAAGTGCTGGTATTACAGGTGTGTACCATCATGCCCAGTTTATTTGGTAGTGGAATCCAATCCAGTGCATCATATATGCTAGGCAAGCACTATACCAACTGATCTACACCCCACCCCAACCTCCCTCCTTTTTGAGAGTGGAGTCCTTCCTTTAGGTCAACTCTCCTAAGGAGGTCAGAAGAGTACCCTCCCTCTACCCCTACCCTGGGGTCCTATACCTTCCAAGCCCCCTCGGGGACTGAGTCAAACTGAACAACAACCAATACACTACCCCTGACCATTACATTGGCGGCATCCTGATACCCTCCCTGGTTTGCCCTGTGATGAGATGCCCACAGTGTGGATTCTGTGGGGAGAAGAACATTCCCAGGGTCAGCTCAGTGAGCCTCTCTCCCCAGCACAACACTGGGGAAGCACAGTGCCCTCCTGCTCAGTGCTCAGCCCTGCTCAGAATCATCATTTTTATTTATTTGGTCAGTTGTTTAACCATCCTCTCCTCTCCTCATCAAGAACACAAGCTTCAAGAAAGCCATGATGTCATTACTAGGCTTCACAGGGCCAGGATATAAAAGATGCTCTGTTGGTACTAGGGCCTTTCTGAGTGCCAGTGCCTTGCCTGGCCACAGAGGAGGAGGAAGACAGAGGTGTGCTTTCATGGGCATTTCCCATGTCCTTCCCTGGGTCCAGTATGATTTCCTGTGCTCAGGCTCCGAAGACTCCTGCTTGGCTGGCAATCAAGGCTGCCCAGAACACCAGGTCCCCCTCCCACACTGATGCTACCAAGCTCCTCAGCCTGCCCACAGACACAGGAGGAGAGGGCTTTGAGTGAGTCCTTAATTGCCCTCCAAGTTGAAGACCACAAGGACTCAGCCTTCAAGGGACTCGGCTTGATTTTAGGAACATCCTGGGGCGAGGGTGGGCTGGCAGGGACGGAAGCTGGAGCCGCATGTCCTCTGTAGGGTGGCAAGGTGTCCTTGGTCTCAGGAAGAAGTCTGAAACCCGGTGGAACATCCCGAGTCCCATACAGCCTGTTTTCTCTACAGATCAACATATAGGTCTTGATGGGTCGAGTGACACATCCTTGGTTGGGTATGGGTTCTTGACGTAGCACTGGGGGTGTATCCAGACAGATCTGTTTCCCAGTGGCACAGTCGATAACAAAAGTGAAGTGAGCTGTGGGGATGGCCTTTAGGGGGCGTGCCAACTTCACACCTAAAAGGAAGGGAAGGGTCAGAGGTTTGTATTGGCACAGCCAGCCATGGGGTCTCATCCATCCAATTCTGCATTCATTTGCACATGCTTTCATGTAGGATTTAGGTTATATACAAAGACAGGGAAATTGTAGTGTTAGAGTGAGACTTCAGCACAGGAGAGACCTGAGTTTGGTTTTGTGGGTTTTTTGTTTGTTTTTTTTTTTGAGTGTGTGTGTGTGTGTGTGTGCTTGTGTGTGGTGTGTGGTATATGTGGGCATGCACGCATACATGTACCACAGCCTTCTTGAGGAGGTTAGAAAACAACTTGCAGAGAAGTTGGTTCTCTCCTTCGACCATGTGGGTTCAGGGGATTGAACTCAGGTCATCAGGCTTGGTGATAAGCACCCTTATGCACTGAGTCATCTAGCCAGCCCAAAACCTGAGTTTAAACCCTGCATTTTCCCTTTCTCGCCCATTCCCAGGAGCACCAAGTCTAGCCTGTGGACACTTCTCAACTTACCTTGCACATGACCTGCCCAGGAATCTCCTTAAAATGTAGCCTGGGGGCTGGAGAAGACTCAGCCTTTGATAAAGTGTCTATTGTACAAGGATGAGTTCAGATCCCCAGCACCCATGTAAAAAGGCATAGATGATGTATGACTGCAAGAGTCCCTAATCCCAGCACTGGGGAGGTGGAGCCAGGTGAATGCCTGGAGTCCGATGTTTGGCCAGCCTAGCTGAATTATTGAGTTCCAGGGTTAGTGTGAGATCCTCTCTCAGAAAGTAAGATGGAGGGCTAGAGAGATGGCTCAGTAGTTAAGAGCACTTGCTCTTGCAGAAGACCTGGGTTCAGTTCCCAGCACACACATGGCAGCTCACAACCCTCTGTAACTCTAGTTCCTAGGGATCCGATGCCCTCTTCTGGCCTCTGCAGGCACCAGGCACACACACAGTGCACATACACACAGGTAGGAAAAACACTCATACATATAAAAAAAGATAAAAATAAAATAAATAAAAAGTTAAGGTGGAGAATAATTGAGGAAGATACTACACCAGCCCAAACACACACACACACACACACACACACACACACACACACACACACACACACACTGCAGGTCTAGGGTGGGATCTGAGGTTCTATCTTCAGAAGTCTCCCAGAAGATGCTGATTCTTCGAGTCTAAGGAACCAAGAGGAAGGTGGGGGCCAGCTGTGACATGGAGAAAGCTAAGGCTCAGCTGGTTCAGGTGCTGGTGGTCTTTAGGGAGCCCCATAGAATCCTACATCCTGGAAGAATTGTACCCAGACATTGAGCCTCTGCCCTGAAGATCCCTGCCTTAATTCTTTGCTGTACTGCCCTCAGCTCCGAGCCCAGCACATGGCTGAAGAGCGACTGAACCAAGCAGTTTATCAGTGAAGCAAAGCGCAAAGCAGGTCTGTCTAAATCCAAAGCCTGTGCTTCCATTCATTCATTCACTCACTCATTCATTTACAGGGTCTACTCTCCAGCTAGGCTATCTTGCAGCTCACTAAGTAGACCAGACTAGCCTTGAACTTGTGGTGATCCTCTTGCTTCCTGAGTGCTGGGACCACAAGTGTGTGTCACCATGCCTCGCCCAAAACCTGCACTTTTTAAAAATTTATTTACGTATTTATTTATGTAGTTAGTTAGTTAGTTAGTTAGTTAGTTAGTTAGTTAGTTAGTTTTGGTCTTTTGAACAGGGTCTCCCTACAGTCCCAGCTGGCCTGGAACTCTCTATATAGAACAGGCTGGTCTTGAACTTCAAGAGATCTGCCTGCCTCTGCCTCCCAAGAGCTGGGACCAAAACCTGCACTCATAAGTAACTTCTCATGGCATGGCGGCTCATGCCTCTCAGGCCTGTAATCCCAGAACTTGAGAAACTAAATCAGAAAGGTTGCTATGAGTTTGAGGCCCGCCTAAGGCTGAGATTCTGTCTCAAAAAAAAAAAAAAAAAAAAAAAA